CTCTTTTTTTTTTTTTACACTTTTCACTTTTTTTTAAACTTACAAATTTTATTTTATTTATTTAATTATATCAAGCAGTCATTGTGAATGAATCTCACTATTACTGCTTGATAAATTAATACATTTTTGGTTATTATCAGGCTGCTTCAAACTTCAGAACAGCCGATAATAAGTTAGTGACACTGATCCTGCAGCAGTTCAGGATTCAGCTGTTACTAAATGTTTCAGAAAACTGAAACATTCTACTTTCAAGAATAGATACATTATGTGTCTATTACATTACATTATGTATCTATTCTTGAAAGTCAAAAGATAAAAAAAAAAAAAAGCCAGTATAGCTTGAGAGAGATATCTCTCTCCATCTATACGAGCTGTCAGAATGCCGGCAAAAGCCGGCATGTGTGTCCGCTCTGCTGTGACTCTCAGACACCCGATATTAAGGTATCGGGTGTCTGAAAAGGTTAACCCTTTCATTAATGGATGCCTAGATAGTTAGACATCCATTACTGAATGGTAACCGCTGATTCTCAGCGGTTATCAGCCTTCTAGTGCAGCAAATAACTCGTCGCGTACAGTGTACGTGACGAGTCATTTGGTCCCTTTGTGGCTGGACGTACAGTGTACGTCTCCCGTCACGAAGGGGTTAAATGGAGAAAACAAGGGTTAGATGATCTTTCAGGGTTGTATTTTATGTGTCCCACTGGGAAGATTTGTCATTAATTCATATACTAGGGGCATCAGTTCCTACAACAATAACTGAGGGGAAATCTTTGCAGCAATAAAAACCTGACACAGGTTTAAACCCCCCTCCACCGTAAGCAGCAATATGCTTTGGCTGGACCTCTGCTTCAAAGCTTAATTGTGGCCATGAAAAAAAAAAATCACTATAGGCTCCCTCACCAATCACAAAATTGACCTTAATCTGCAGCGCTCTTCTGCCACTCCAGTTGTGGTGACTGATTAGCTTAAGACTTCTTTCCCCTACTCTTGTCAATGGGCACTCTTATCAGTACTCGGGATGGGACGTGTGTGCTGCGAGAAGCACCTGCCCATATTAAAGGGGGTGTTAGAGGGAGGTATATGGTTTTTATAAATATATATAGATTGTGTATATATATATATATATATATACACACAGACACACTATATTGCCAAAAGTATTGGGACACCGCCCAAATCATTGGATTCAGGTGTTCCAATCACCTCCATGGCCACAGGTGTATAAAATCATGCACCTCGGCATGCAGACGCTTCTACAAACATTTGTGAAATAATAGGTCGCTCTCAGGAGCTCGTTGAATTCAAACGTGATAGGTTGCCACTAGGAATGCACCGATACCGGTATTTCGGTACCGAGTACCGATATTTTTTTCCTGAAGTCCCATTCAGGAAGCCAGGTGGCGTGTAATTACTCGCCACCTGGCTTCCTACTTAGCCGGACAGCGTGTAAAGAGTCGCCACCCGGCTTCCCGATTAACAAGGAAGCCGCCCCCATGCTTCTCGTCACTATGTGACGAGAAAGCATGGAGCAGGCTTACTGGCCAATTATGGAAGCTGGGCGCCGTGTAATGATGCGGGGCCCGGCTTCTTGATTGGCCGGGAAGCCGGCTCCATGCTCTCTAGTGATGAGGGAGCATGAAGCCGGCTTCCCGGCCAATCAGGAAGCCGGCCGCTGCGTCATTACACAGCGCACGTCTTCCATGATTGGCCAGTATCGGTGCATCCCTAGTGGCCACCTGTGCAATAAGTCCATCCGTGAAATTTCCTTGCTACTAAATATTCCACAGTCACATGTTAGTGGTATTATAACAAAGTGGAAGCAATTGGGAACAACAGCAACTCAGCCACAAAGTGGTAGGCCACGTAAAATGACGGAACGGGGTCAGCGCATGCTGAAGAGCTCAGTGCACAGAAGTCGCCAACTGTCTGCAGAGTCAATAGCTACAGACCTCCAAACTTTATGTGGCCTTCAGATTGGCAGAACAACAGTGCGTAGAGAGCTTCATGGAATGGGTTTCCATGGCCGAGCAGCTGCATCCAAGCCTTACATCACCAAGTGCAATGCAAAGCGTCGGATGCAGTGGCGTAAAGCACACCACCACTGGACTCTAGAGAAGTGGAGACGTGTTCTCTGGAGTGACCAATCACGCTTCTCTGTCTGGCAATCTGATGGACGTGTCTGGGTTTGGCGGTTGCCAGGAGAACGGTATTTGCCTGACTGCATTGTGCCAAGTGTAAAGTTTGGTGGAGGGGGGATTATGGTGTGGGGTTGTTTTTCAGGGGTTGGGCTTGGCCCCTTAGTTCCAGTGAAGGGAACTCTTAAGACATCAGCATACCAAGACATTTTTGACAATTTCATGCTCCCAACTTTGTGGGAACAGTTTGGGGACTGCCCCTTCCTGTTCCAACATTACTGCGCACCAGTGCACAAAGCAAGGACCATAACGACATGGATGGGGGAGTTTGGGGTGGAGGAGCTTGACTGTCCTGCAGAGAGTCCTGACCTCAACCCGATAGAACACCTTTGGGATGAATTAGAGCGGAGACTGCGAGCCCGGCCTTCTCGTCCAACATCAGTACCCAACCTCACTAATGTCAAACATTCCCATAGACACACTCCTAAACCTTGTGGACGCCTTCCCAGAAGAGTTGAAGCTGTTATAGAGGCAAAGGGCCAACTCAATATTGAACCCTACGGACTAAGACCGTAGGGTATTTTAACGTTCAGTGATATACCCCTCCTGCCTGTAATATCGCACTAGATTTGAGAAGGATAGAGCTCTCTGTTGTAGTGTTCACCTGGGAAGAGAAGAGATTGGTGACATCACAAATCACATGACAATCCAACCAGGATTTCTGCCGGGGCAGAGCTATCTTGACAGCCCAAATCAGCATTTCTCAACTTAATTTTTTTTCAGTCCCAGCACCCTTTAAAAGTTTGAAAAATATCAAGGCACCCCAGTCTAAAATATTATTGATTGTAATGTCTTCCTTATATTGTAAAGCGCTCAGCAAACTGTTGGCGCTATATAAATCCTGTAAAATAATAATAACTTGGATTGTACTGATGATTTCACAGAAGGAAACTTTATTCCCATTACTTATTGGCTTTAGCTTCCCTTTCTTAGGGCAAACTGTTTCCTATAGAGTAAAAAATAATAGATTATGCAGCATAAGTCTGTACACATATGCAAGTAAATGTATAAATATTTATTTTATGGCTAAGGATAGCACTGCCCCCTTATCAATTGAGGATGCTCGGTATGGGGGAAGGTCGTTCTGTGAAATCAGGATGTTGGTATTGACTTCCATGAAACTGAGCCCTTCTCCAATGCAATGGATGGCTCCCGAGAGGAAGCCAGCACTTGTATTTGACTGCTGAAGAGCAGCCACCATCCGGGAAGCTTGGCAGGAGTCCATTTGTTTTACAAACTAATTAAAATTTTTTCATTGTAAGGCAAATACTTGATTACTGTGGCGTCTGGAACATGTTACCAGTGCTAAGGCATTGGCCATGTTGTCTGTGCTAAAGAAGAGGATGTTGGGAGACCAATTTCAGCAGTGTGCTCCAGCAAAGCTGACATGACATGTGTTATATGTTACCTAAACTTTACAATCCCAAGGTCTCCAGAGATTGGTGCTACCTGGTTTGTTGAAGGTGTTGAAATGTTTAATTTTTTAAAAGAAAAAATGTGACATTCTGGGGTTGTTAAACCTGAAGATTATTTTACTTATTATGTGGATCGCCGGTTCCTCCTTTCCCCCTCATCCATATGCTAATGACATTTTTAAATGAAACCTTTCCATTTTCATTGCATAGCTTATGTTAGGCTTTGTGATGTCATCGCTCTGACTTCTCTGTGAAATAAGAGGCAGATCATGGCTTGTGGGAGGGGATGTACAAAGCACTCAGTAATGCCCACATGTGATGCTGATGCCTCCATGTTTAAAGTAACTAAAATCCAATAAATGAAAGGAGTAGGCCAGGGATAGTAAGGCTGGATAGCAAAGGTCTAGGTCAGGGGTGCCCATTAGGTAGATCGTGATCTACTAGTAGCTCTCAAAGCTGATGCTGGTAGATCACGAAGGGTGTGAATGGCGGCCCCTTTACTCCATTTTGGTATGTTTATTTAGCTGTGCACACATGATTACCTATTAGCCTGAGTCTGCTGAGCCAAGCTCCCTGTCACCTTTCTGGTGGATACTGGTGGTTGAAGTGCTATGTATTACATCAAAGAATATTAGTTTACACAGCCTGCTGCACTGCACTGTTTGCAAAATAAAGCAAGGTGAGCCATGGGAGAGAGAGCGGGAAGAGACAGACAGGAGAGTGAGGAGAGACAGCCAGGGGAGTGAGAGCGAGGAGAGACAGCCAGGGGAGAGAGCAAGGAAACACAGCCAGGAAAGAGAGAGAGGAGAGACAGCCAGGAAAGAGAGAGAGGAGAGACAGCCAGGAAAGAGAGAGAGGAGAGACAGCCAGGGTAGAGAGCAGGGAGAGACTGCCAGGAAAGAGAGCAAGGAGAGACTACCAGGAAAGAGAGCAAGGAGAGACTACCAGGAGAGAGAGCAAGGAGAGAAAGCCAGGAGAGACAGCCAGGGGAGAGAAAGCCAGGAGAGAGCGCGAGGAGAGACAGCCGGGAGAGACTGCCAGGAGAGAGAGCAAGGAGAGAAAGCCAGGAGAGAGAGCAAGGAGAGAAAGCCAGGAGAGAGAGCAAGGAGAGAAAGCCAGGAGAGGGTGAGCGAGGAGGTTTTTTTTTTTTCGTTGGTAGATCTCATGTAGCTCGTCATTTGAAAAGTAGATCTTAACACAAAAAATTGTGGGCACCCGTGGTCTAGGTGATGCTGGAGGTCCTGCAGCTGGGAAATAAGGCGGGCTCTATCTGACTTGCTGCAGCTTCTAATGCACATTGCAAGAAGGTCACAGTGGGCAGTAAAATTAGAGTAAGCAAATTCAGTACATGTAATACGCCTGTACAACTCTGCAAGAATGAGGGGAAGGCTGGAGGACAGATTTACCTTGTAAATACCTTTGGGGAGTGTTTATCAATATTAATAGGATTCAAGGTCTATTTGAAAAAATTTGACCTGCTTTTGAGCAATAATTCTAGGGCCAGTATTTTGGGGTATCTCTAAATTGATGACCTGTGGGGGCTTTTAAAGCGTCTTCTATGGACTTTTTGGGGTACTGGGGTTTTTCGCCGTTTTACGGATGCACGCAATTTGTAACCTGGGCATGTTGGGTATCGTTTTACTCGTTGTAACCTCATCTTTTATATTTCATTAAAAAAATAGGTATTTTGTTGTGTTTTGGGGCATTTAATTAAATTTTTCACTAAATATTGGGGTTTAATAAGGAGTTGCGCTAATATTGCGCAACATAAAAATTTGCAACTACCACCATTTTATTCTATAGGGTCTTGGCATTCAGAAAATATATAATGTTGGGGGGTTTTAAGTAATTCTCAGGCCTAAAATTTGGAATATAACATGGGTACAAAAAATGAAAAAAAGGCCTCAGTCATGAAGGGGTTAAACAACCATAAATGTACATCTCTCACCCCTGCAGGGCGGCCCAGGTAAAGAGGAAAGGGGTACCAAAGAAGAAGGAGCCCTCCAAGAAAAGGAAGGTAGCACAGACTGAAGCAGAAAGGGAAGATTTGATGGTTGCGATGGCGCTATCACGTTCTCTGCAAGAGGAGAAACCTTCACCAAACCCTGGGTGTGCCCAGCGCGCAAGAAAGATCGGCCCGTCAGGTACAGACACATCACTCTGCTGCTGTTCAGAAATAAAACTACTAAGGCTTGCATGTTTAATAGAAACATATGTCATTTCTTGGAGATGTTTGTAAATCAGGGTGCTTCCATCTAACTGAAAGTGTGAGCTGTCTGTGTTTCAGAAAAGAAAAGTCGCCGGAAAAAGAAGGACAAACCGCCTCCTGTCCTGCTGGTCCAGGCCCCAGAAGAGGCTGTGCAGAAGCTTCAGAGGAGGCTGTCTTTACTGCTGAGTGAGCAATCTGGGGAGAACAATCTTATAACACTGCCTGCCAGCAGCTTCTGGAACATGCAGGAGGAAGAAAGAGAAACCTTCAGAATGTGTGCTGGAAAGAATTGTGTCCTTTGGGATATCAGCAACATGATGGAGAACAGAGATACAGTCAGCTACTATACACCAGAGCTAAATCCTCCAATAACTCCATGGAAGCCTCTCTCAAAGGTAAACCTGACCATGGTATGAATTGATAAAAATGCTTGAGTAGAACTTCCCAAATAGAACCTGAACTTTACAGAGAACCAGCACCCAGACAATGCACACTAATGTACTTGCATATTGCGGGCAAGCAGTAAAAGCACTTAAAAATAAACCCTTATTCATTTTGGTAGGTATAGGCATTTTGTAGCAATGCATCTTCAAAGTTTACAAATGAAGCACTGAAATCTTAACTTTTCTCCCCATTATATTCTATCACACCAGAATCTTGGCTATAATACTCACTGCTCCTGGGATCCAGCACCAGGGCTTCTCTCTAGCCCTCAACACTTCTGGGTTCCACCCATAGACCCAGTGTCACAGCCAGTCAGTAGGCAGCTCTCCTGATTGGCACCAGCCAGCCAATCATGAGGCAGCTCCCTGATTGGTGGTGACTTAAATGACAAAGCGATGCATTGGCACAGCGTTCAAGAAACGCGTTGCTAATCATGCTTCCAGTATCTTGCTGCAGTCTGAGCTTCTGTCTCCTCCATGCCCAGTATTCTTCAGATCCTTGTGCCTTCACTGTGTGCCTCTGTGCTGACATATCCCTAGTGTTTCCCTGTGCCACCAGAGCACCTCCATGTACCACTGGGTCTCCTAGTGCTACCGTGCCTCCAGCATGTCTCTATGCTTCTCCATGCCTCCAGGTGTACCCCTCCAGCACACCTCTGTGCCTTCAAGTGTACTCCTGTGCCACCAGTCCTCCTCCATGTCTCCAAGTGTACTTCTGTTCCTCCAGCGCACCTCTGACTTCTGAGACTCCTTTTTTTTTAATAGCTTAATCATGTTACTAATATCTGCAATTAACCAGAGAAAAGTAAGTATCAATCACTAACTGATGGAACAATGGTGTAAACTACACAGTAGTATTTAACCATTAATTAGTAAAATTATTGGGCATGAATAGTCACAGCTACATGCTGTTATGTAGCTCACACCATAGGGAGCCCATTGTCCCATCAGTTAACACTTTCTACTCTGCACAGTCTGCAGGAGATTCTGCTGAAAGTGTCCAGAGAAATTGGGCCTAAGTTGTGTTAGGAGGGCAAACTTGGTTTTTAGCTTTGGATGCAGTTGTACTTTTTTTGAATATTATAACCGTATAACTTGTTCCAACAGAAGGTACTAAACTCACAGCCACGTGCGGTTACTCCTACTACTCCCAATCTACCTGCGGGAATGCCAGAAAGCCAAAGGCTCGAAGACAAAGCTGCTTCTCCTGCCACCCCCTTTAAGGATCAGAAGCCACTCTCTGACAGCCAGAAGGACAGACAAGCTTTGCTGGACCTGGCAGAGCTAGCCGGAGAAGGCATGACTCTGACTCAGTGGAACTATGCACCCAGCAAAGCCAGCAACCAAACAGGTTGAGAATCTGAAGATCCAAAGAAATCCTAAACTGTGTTTCCTTTGATGTTACTCTTTTCTAAAAACTTTGCACAATATTTATCCCCAGGTCGAGAGTCACCACTCAGTATTGTGTGCAGTGGATTCATTCCCTCAAAAGAAGAAGTGACCAGAAAAGAGAGCAAGATCCCTGATACTAACAAAGTATGTCAATATTCGTTTAATCAAATTTTATTGAGTTTTTTTAAACAATACAAAAATGTGACCATAATCCACAGTACAGTACAGTACACAGTACAGTACAGTATATGATATGCAATAGAAAACAAGAAAGCGAACAGGAACATGATCCATGCTATCATGTACTGCGATTAATGCCTCTTGACCTAGGTTCCCGAGGCCAGAAAGGGTATGTGGTCAACAGTGTTGAAGGGGGAGGAAAATGCAAGGGAAATAATACGTATGTCACTTTTACCCTTTCATTATTAGTGGATCAATACACTTCCTGTAGGAGTGGTGACAGTTTAATGAAAACATACATACCCTTACAAAATTAAATTAGTTAGTATTATAGTCATAATTGGCTGTGCTGAGGGAGGCTTATCTGGGAAGTCATCTTATTAGGGAAGTCATGATCTGTCCTACCCTCTCTCATGCTTGACTGTTGGCTGTTGAGCCTGGCTATCGCATTGTAGCGCCAATAGTGAGGCAGGGGAGGGGGCAGGCCAGTCTTTCATATTAAACCTTATAAAACCTTTATTAATGAGACACCATTACCATTTTCAAATAGGAATGCACCGATATATCGGCCACTGAAACATATCGGCCGAAAATGGCACTTTTGGCAAAATGCCGAAAGTGCAATTATTTGGCCAAAATAGCGGTGCAGTCGTGATTTCTCTCCTCTCTGCTGGGTGCTGTCACAGGCGGCCGAGCACTGCGGGAGGAGAGAGATATGAGCAGCCGGTGTCTCTCCGTCCCGCACCGCTCAGCCTCCTGTCACAGATCAGGAGTGCGGCAGTGTGGGTGGAGGCAGCCAGTGCTGTCACAGCAGGCTGAGCTCTCCTCCCGCACTGCCCCGCTCAGCCTCCTGTGACAGCGTGCCAGGATGGAGAGCGGAGTACAAACAATCAGTGATCAGTGATCAGTGATTGAGTGTTTGTAAATAATTGAGGACAGAGTATGTTTATTATATCCTCAATTATGAATGAATGGGAAGTGATCGACATCACCTCCTGTTTGTTCATGATTGTGGTTTTAGTAAACACACTGAAGGGAATTTATCAAAACGGGAGCAGCTGTGCACGGCAACCAATCAGCTTCTCTCTTTCATTTCAAATCTTAACTGAAGAGGGAAGCTGATTGGTTGCCACACACAGCTGCTCCAGATTGTGTCTGCTCCAGTTTTGATAAATCCCCCCCACTGTGTTCTCCACAAGTTATGAATGAACAGGAACACTCAGTATAGAGGATTCCTGTTCATTTATAACAGGGGCTGCAGAAAAAGAGATTGATGACTCTTTGTCCTCAATCTCTTTTTCTATTTTAAAAGGGAAATATCAGGGGTCTGTTTAGACCCCCAATATTTCCCCGAAGGCCCTAAAAGTAAAGTAAAAAATACAAATATTTAATTAAAAATGAATAAATAAAAAAATTAAAAAGTTTATAAAAAATAAATAAAAATAAAATATTTTTAAAAATTTGAAAAAGTTAGAATAAAAAAACATTTTCGGTTTCGGCCTGACATTTTTTTTCA